TGTGTGTGTGGGTGTGTGTGTGTGTGTGTGTGTGTGTGTGTGTGTGTGTGTGTGTGTGTGTGTGTTTGTGTACCTCTGCGGCTCCGACTGCAGCCAGCTCCGTCATGTAGAGCTCCATGATGTGCATTATGAGTCCTGATGGAGCTGCGCTGGAGCTCTGCAGGAGCTGATCTGAGAACAGTTGGAGGAACTCCTGCAACACACTGCAGCAGGAGACAGGTCAGCACAACACACACACACACTACAGTGATTCAGACCCCCTCTCTCACACACACACTAGTGTTGTCAAACATAGACACAGATGTATGTAAAACACCACAGTGATGCTTCAGCTCAGTGTCAGTACACTGGCTTTACTCTCACACTGCTCAGCAGCAGGGAGACGACCGAATAACAATAATACTCAGACTTTAACACACTTCTGCTTCATCAGAAGATCACACTGAACTGTATTTAGGGTTTTATTTGTCATTTATTGCCTCTAGGACTCGAGCATTAGATGCCGTTTCCCTTTTCACTTGATCTGCACACTTTAATCAGAGCTGAGTTTGCTCCTGCAGGTCTGAGAACAGCATCAAATATCAAAACAACTCAACATAGCAGATCAAGGTGGACATTCCAGCATCAAGACAACATTAACACACACACACACACACACACACACACACACACACACACACACACACACACACACACAGTACCTGGGCTCCCACTCCTGCTTCTTCAGCATCTCAAACATTTGGCGGAAGACGAAGCGCACGAGCTGAAGAACAGGAGAGAGAATTCAGCACCGACACCATCATGTTCAGTCATTACAGGAGATCACACACACACACACACACACACACACACACACACACACACACACACCTGGTAGAATTTGTCCAGTCTCAGTCTGTCGATGCCGTTCCACTCCCTCTTCATGGTCTGCAGGAACGTCTTGAAGAACAGAAACTCTAGAAACACACAGCAGGAGCGGAGAGAGAGAGAGGTATAAGGGGATTACTGCAACACACACATAGAGAGAGAGAGAGAGAGTGTGTGTGTGTTTAACTCACGACTGTCAACGGTGCGAAAGCTGAAGAGCAGCGCTGAGATCTTGGTGGACAGCTCCTCCTGAAACACACACACACAGGTTATGGAGAGCAGAGATTATGAGGGTGTGTGTGTGTGTGTGTGTGTGTGTGTGTGTTTACCTGCAGCAGAGGCAGATCCTGCATCCACAGACAGTAGAAGAGACCCTTCCAGATCTTCAGCAGCTCCTCCTCACTGAAGCCTCCTGTAACACAGCACAACATCACCATCACCATCATCATCACCCTCTTCCTCATTACCACATCTTCATCCTCAGTTTTACACGACATTTATGGATTGAGATGGCACTTTATGGGCTCAGTGCCCTGCTCAAGGGAATCCCCTCAGCTGTGGTAGTGAGGTGGATACTCACCATTACCATCATCACCTTCCTCATCTCCATCAGGCTGATAGGGTGACTACAGCACTGATGATGAACACTACAGTCACAGCAGACACACAACCCTGACTGAGCTCTGGGGGAGTTACTGTGTGTGTCTTCAGAGTGTGTGTGTGTGTGTGTGTGTGTGTGTGTGTGTGTGTCTGAAGTCATTTAGCGTGTCTTCAGTATGTTAGTGTGTGTCTTGCGTGTCTATAAGTGTGTGTGTGTTCATCTAGCGCTCTCTCGCAGCGTACTCTCTGATGGTGTTTTTCGCTGTTATTGGAGTGTGTGTGTGTGTGTGTTCCGCGTGCATGTCAGTGTGTGTTTGTGTGTATGTCAGCGTGTGTGTGTGTGTGTGTGCGCTCCTCTTTACCTGGCGCTCTCTCGGAGCGGATGCGGATGTATTTCCTGAGCTTCAGCAGGGCTTTGCTCCTCACGCTTTTCTCGTTGGCCGCGAGTTTCTGCGCGAATATGACTTCTGCTGCTTGAGTCGCCATTTTTGCTGCTGTGCACGTGCTGCTGCTGCGCGTACACGCGTCCTCGC